AACCAAATAGTTATTGCAAAAATTCGTTCCCTGAGGTAGCGTTTTACAATATGGGGCCCATACCCCACAGGGAAAAAGGGGGGGGGGGCGATTAGATTGTTTAGAGCAGTGATTCCCAAACTGTGCGCCGCAGCGACCTCTTCACAGGGGCGCCGCGAAATATTCGACGATACACGAGCTTTATATATTTACTTTTAAATCTATTACATACGGATAGTCATATTTTACTTAGGTAAGAGCGCCGTGGAATTTTTTGTTTAAATTGAAAAAAGGCGCCGCGACTAAGAAATGTTTTGGAAAAACTGGTTTAGAGAGTCAATTCGATTATTAGAGGAGCAATGTGATGGTTTAGGGGGGGGGGGGGGGGGTGTTTGAAAATGGATTCGTCCAGAGTTTAAGTTTCAAAGGAGGCATACGAATGTGAGAAAGGCTGAGGTGAGGCATTGCACACACACACACAAAAGGCTGGGAAACAATGGCCTAAGGGAAATAATAATTACAGAGTTCAAAGGTGCTGGATTCGAAACTATCCATGATATGGAAGTGATTACATAGAGCAGAATGAAGAATTAGATTGCTAGCCTCATGTGTTGATTCAAGAACCGACATCACAGCACTCGGAGCACTCCCATAAGCGCTCCATCCCCATCTTCCGCAGCCGGTGAAGAGTGCCGACACTAATGGTGCCAGTAGCATTCTGGTTAAACGTCCGTCTTGCTTTTCCTCTGGGCCTCGAGCATCTGCCAAAACCTCTTGCCCCTTCACCCTGCATCAATGTCACCAGGCTGTGGTGATCCATCTGCTCCCATGAACTGTACACGCTCTCCCACAAGGCACTAACCACGTCTGCCTTATCATGCATCAGTATTCAACCAAGATGTGCAGAGCCAACCAGTCTGTCCGTCTGCTCATTCCCCAACACACAGGTGTATCTTGGTAAAAATAACAAACAATACTTCTCACCCATGTCCTCCGCAGTGAAGCATGCCACTCTGCACGAAGCATGCATGTCCTGACCGCCTCAGCATGCTAGCCTCATGTGACAAACAATGGCACAACAGGACGATAAATGAATGAATGAATGAATGAAAGAATAATTCCTTGCCTGTGTCAGCCAACAAAATCAAAAACTCAAGCAAAAAGATTAAAAGAATGCTTTTATTTATCATTAACATCTTCTATGAAGAGGAAATGACACTTTCCCTGTAGCACCATTGCTGATATATTGTTGCAAAAGCAAAAGTGACAGCAGCGTGATCTGACATGAATCCACTAAACACCCAGACACATAAATCTACATTAATTATCATTCATATATACAGTATGGGAGTCGCTGTGGCGTAGCGGCTAGACGCATACATGCGGATCGGAAGGTTGTGGATTCGCTCCCTGGCGGAGTCGGACTTGTTTCAAAAATTACCTTGACTCCCAGGTCAACCCAGCCTTAAGTGGGTACCGGGTGCAGTACTGGGAAGTAAAGGTAGCCGGCGTGATGCTGACCAAATTCCCCATCTTGTGCCGATTGGTCAATAAAAATATAGGTCTAGCCCTATGCGCCTAAAGGCGTGGAAAAGTGACCATTACTTTACTTTATATACAGTATGAAAAACAATTTTTACATGTTTTAAAATTGACCAACAACCAATCAGTGAAACAATAAGTCAAAGTTGAAGAGATATGGTTTCGCGGAAGAAAGATAGGAAATCCATAAACAGATAAAAAGTGCAATTAAGAGGTCTATGAAGTAATCAATTTACAAGGACAAATGCTTACCTTCATCAGAAACAGACAATAGCTTCCTTATTTAGGCACCCGCTGAAAAGGGGATTTCATGAAAAGATATCACACGAAAAGAAAAAGTAGAACTAGTTATCTTTCACATTACCACAAAAGACAAGTGAATGTTGTGGCTAGAGTGCATCCAACAATGCATGACATGCTACAGACAGCTTTATTTAAAAACTAGAATACATAGAATCACTTAACTGAGGTCTCTGGAAAAAGAAATCACATTCCTGTCTGGTTAGCTGAAACTCTGGGGTATGTGTGAATACAGGAAATGAATACTTGCCAGAAAATTTGTTGAAGGAAAATGGCCATAACTCAAAGATATTAGATAAAGCTGTGTTGGACTTTTATCCCTTATGCAAATACATTTCATGAAAAAAGGGAAAATTAAAACAGGTGAGAGCAACAGTAAAGTTGAGAGGACAATGAGAAGATCAGGAGAGAAGATGATGGACAGTTTGGCATTGTGGCATTTAGGCATGTCTGCATCAAAAACTATTAATGGTGTTCATGAAAGAAATCCTGGACACAGATAATTACCAAAGCACATGGTAGTGACTGCAATTGCAAATACCCTTGAAAGAGGCAGGTGGCAAGCTGTGTTGCGGTTTACAGCTAGACTGCAAGATCTACACCTTTCATCAACATTTAGGTAAAGATTTGAAATCCAGTAGTTAGGACAAGCCCATATTAGCTGTTCTTCCTCCTCAATATTCAGCAGTTTTCAAACTGCTGGTACCCGTTGTCATTTTCTCAAAGGCCTTTTCGCCTGAAGTCTTGAGTGGTGCCCAGCGCTTGCAGATACTCCCCACTGCATCATTCTCTCCAGGTACGGGTTTTCAGTTACCTTGTCCCACAGGTGAGAGATCACTTCTGCCTTGTGCAGTTGCAGTACACCCTCAAATGGAGCCAATCCAGCCAACCTAACTGCTTGCTCATTCCCAAAAACACCTACACGACTGGCAAAATATTCATCTAACTCTCACCACCTGCAGGCTCCGGATTGGTGTGACAAATTCCATATAAAGAAAAGAAAACCTGACTCTGCCTTCCTGAGCATTCTGTGCCAATCTGATGCTACAAGCACATGTGTGGTTGAGATTATCTCCACCCATCGTAATGTCGCAGCTACCGCCTCAACCTCCCTTCTCATGTTTGATGTACATCTGATTTCAATAACCCTTAATTTTAATTTTTTTTTACAACTGGCTTGTTAAGCGTAATGGATCTAACCCCACCCCCCACTTTTCCAACATGCTGTACAAAGAATATGTTTTAAAGATGGAAATAGTAAATTTTACAATTATCTGTTTCTGTGCAAAAATTATTACCTACGTCATCCTTAAGAGTATAGTGGCTAAATCTGAAAGCAGATAGCTTTTTTTTTTGCCTTTTCAAAAATAACCTGGCTTCCAGGTCGACCCAGCCTTAAATGGGTACCAGGTAAAGTCCTGGGAAGTGAAAGCAACCAGTGAGATGTTGACCACTTTACCCACCTGGTGTGGATTCATCTGTAAAATGTAAGTCTTTCACTATGTGCTCAAAGGGCCTGAAAGCGTGCATAAGGGTCCTTTCACAATGCATCATCCTTGTGTAGAAACTGAAGTCCAGGTGAAGCACCAGCATGCTATTTTAGGCTCCTCCGGGAACTGGTAACTTCAATTAGTCGCCTAATGTTGATTTGATTTGATTCAAGAACCAACATCACAGCACTTGGGGCAATTCCATATGCGCTCCGGTGCCAGTAGTATTCTAATTAGGGCTGTACCGAATAGTGATTTTCACTATTTGGCCGAATACGAATAGTGGGAACAACTATTCGGCCGAAAACGAATACGAATAGTGTATCATCATCATCAGGTGCCTTGACGACTGGCATGAGCGTTCATGCCACAATCTCCTGCAGCATGTATCAGTTCGTGTGCTGACACACCTCCATGCCATGCAACAAGACTGTCAAGAGTCTTATCTCGTTGTCTTCTCCTATCCCTCCTTCCACAGATCTTCCCAGTGGTCACCAAATGTTCCATTTCCCCTCTTCTCATAACATGGCTGAAAAATGACGACTGTTTCCTTCTGATGTCTGTGATTAGTTGTCTTCGGGCTCCCGCCTCTTTCAAAATCACTCGGCCGTTCGTTCGATGTAATTTAAACGCACCTTCATATTCTCGTTAGCAATATCTTCAAATTTGATTTGGGCGAAGACACCCTGAAAGAACGAAAAATGCATGATCTCTCTCTCTCTCCCTCTCACACTGCAGTTGGCATTTTATGCAGTTTGTACCACGCAACCGAGTAGCAGTTTCCCCCGCTACAACAGACTTAGGCAACAGCAACGATTGTGTTAATGAGAGTTTTTTCAGTCCATCACAGTGTATGCAGAAACGGGAGTAAGGTAACCACTATTCGTATTCAGCCCGACCGCAACTATTCGGCCGAATACCGAATAGTTATTAGGTCCACTATTCGGCCCCGAAGCGAATATTCGGTACAGCCCTAATTCTGATTAAACGTCCATCTTGCCTTTTCTCTGAGCCTCAAGCATCTGCCAGAACCTCTCGTCAATTATCATGCATCAGTATTCCAACAAGTTGTGCAGAGCCAGAAGGTCTGTCTCCCTGTTCCTTTTCCCACACACTGGCGTTCCTCATTGAAAAAATCCAGACAAAATCCTAACCTGTGTCCTCCTCACCGAGCCTAATGTTGAATCAAGAATTGACATCACACCACTCATAAACATTCCTATAGGCTCCCATGTGGGTTCCGGAGTCCCATTGTGGGGAAAACAAGAATAGAGTTTCACATGCTTTTACACTTAGCTCTTTAAGGTACAATTCTTAGCGCTTTCATACTTGGCTCTGAGAAGTAAAAATACATATACTTTTACACTTGGCTCTTAAATGTACAAATTCATGTATCTTCACACACGGCTCTTACAGATTCAAGCCCTTGTGCTTTCACACTTCAAAACATAATTTCATGTGCTTTTACATACTGATAATATTCAGATTTACAACATATATTATGAATGTATTATTAGTCCGAATCTTTCTGTTGTGTGTGTATTTTTTTCAGTCTGTAATCAATCAGACTATGGAGTGCAGCCATCTCCTTGACTCAATTCATCTTTCAGTCACTTCAAAGCAATCAGACTATGGAGTGCAGCCATCTCCTTGACTCAATTCATCTTTCAGTCACTTCAAAGACTGTAATCAATCAGACTTTGGAGCCATCTTCTCAAAATCAACATCCGCACTAGAAGACACATGGCACTGTGTGGAACCTGCAGTGATTTTGTCTGGAGAATGTGGAATGTCTGAAGAAGTTGTACGTTCACTGTGCTGGACACACACCTCACTGTCACTCAACAATGCAGACTCCTTTGTTTCCAGATTGAAGAGGCTCTGCCCAGATGAACTCAAGCTTTTCAAGTCAACTTCAGCACCAGGTGGTGATGCAGCTAACGTCTGCTGGTGTGAACTTTCATCGGTTTCCAGTGTGCAGGACTCCAAACCAGTGACAGCTTTTTCTGATGATACCAAGACACCCTGTGAGATTTGGTTCACATCTTTATCTACACTGCTTTTATCTTCACCAGAGCCTTTATCTGCATCACTGCTGCTGCCAGTATCATCAGAGTTATCATCATCTGAAGAAGAAGAGGAGGAGGAATCATCATCGCTTTCAGATCCCGAGAACACTTCTGCGCCTTTGAAAATGTAGCGACTTGGAGGTACAAATAAAACTTGATTATCTGAAAAAGAGAGAAAGACAGCATTAAGACTAAAATCTGTAGCAGTGTTCACTCAATAATGTAGCTAGCACAAAGGTAAATTCTAATCTTCTTCTTTGACTTCACTAGCTGTAAACTCTGACAGGAAGTTCTGGTTATTCGTCTGCATCTGGTCTTTGGTTTTGTTTCAGAACCTGAGTTTTAGGTCACATCCATTTTACAGATCTGCCTTAACTGTATGCAGACTGATGGTTCCTTGTCTCTCAGGGAGAGGCACTCTGACTTCAAAGGAAACATGACCAATTAGCAGTCTTTTATGACCTGCTGGAAATCTAATAGTTATTGCAGAGGATTGAAACTCTGACTTTACAAGAGCATCATTTTGCCAGTTCTTCTTTATAGAGCAGAATGCTGGAGAATTACCAAAAAAGATGCACACAAGCCGTCCACCTTCCACCACACATGTCTACGTAGAATTATCAAATTTTTTTGGCCAGATACAATCTCAAACACTAAACTACTTCAAGTCACAAACCAAGAAACTTTAGACAGCATGATAACCAAGAGAAAATGGAAATGGCTTGGCCATGTTATGAGAATGAATCTTGATATACCTGCCAAAACAGCTCTCACATGGATACCAGAGGGAAAGAAAAAAAGGACTTAAAGACGAATGGTGGAAAGGGACCTGAGTGCGGCATCTTTGACAAGGAAAACTGCACTGAAAATTGCACAGAAAAGGAGAACATGGAAATAGTCCTCTCTGAAGCCTCATGTGCCACTAGGCATAAAGAGAACTTGAATCAGATCTGTAAAACTGATGCACAAGCAACACTCAGGTTCTGGAGCAGGACTGCAGTCCAGAAGGGGACAAACAACCAGAACTTTATGCCAGAGTGTACAGCTGGTGAACGCGAAGAAGAAGAAGATAAAGAAAACTAATTATGACCTGCTTGTTAAGAGGGCAGTGGATCCATGGAGGCATCGAAACCAAAAGGGGAGAACACTGATTATAAATGGCTTCTTTCGACATTTTTCAGTTATGATGTGGTCTCTCTATCTTCTTCACCCATTATAAGTTATGACTCCCAATTGTCTTTCTTATGTGTATCTACAGCTTTAACCCTTCAAACCCACAAACACTTAATAAAAAGGTAATGAAATCTCACAATTCCTGGTCAAAAATACTTTTACAAACAACCATTTTTAAATAGGTCATTACCAATTTGAAACAAACATTGTTTGCGGGCCACCAGCAGAGAACAGACAGTAGATGGTGAGAATAGATAACACAGAGAGAATGAATGCTTCCACTGGACAGTTTGATGTCCTTGTATTCTCACCTGTAAGAAGCTGTGCAAGACTGACTTTATGTCTGCTATTCCACAGTTTGTGAACATCACTCAAAGACTGGCCTCTTGGCTCTGAACCACACACTTCAGCTTCGCCCACCTTCAGCTCAGGTAGCTCATCATCGCTATCTTCAGATTCCTTGCTGCATAATCTTGGCTTCTTGCTTTCTGGACCAGCTTCATCATCGGCTCTATTGCCCACGTTTCTTTCTGTTGAAGTTTTGCTGCTGGATGGAAATTTCTGCTCAACTATGTCTGTTGACTGAAGCTGTGAGCCGAATTTTCCTTGGAAGATATTCATCTCACGATGACTGGCAACATCCTCAGATGATTCTGATGAGGCAAAACCTGGTTTGTGTTCCCTACAATCCATTAAGTGACTGTTATTTTGACATTCAGGTGATAAAGGTTGTTCAAGAACAGAAGACTGGTGGCCAGGCGACTTTGTCGACTCATGGGGCTGTTGGCTATAATGTCCATGATGTCCTAAGGAAGTTTTCTCTGGAGGTGCAAACACAACATCTTTTCGGTGACAGGCACTAACTAGCGATTCCATTTCCTTAGCAGAACAGAAAACATCTGATGCGGGATCTACCTCAGGTAAACCTGCTCCTGCCGGTACAACTGGAAGGTCTGTTTCTGCAAAAGGTCTCTTTAGTGAGCGGTTATGAGGAGAGTGAAGCCGATGATGATACTTGTGCGCTGTTGTGAGACCCGGTTCTGACTGTGACGTCGAAACTTCTCCAGCATCCTTATCATCTTTGGGTGTGTTAAATGTTTTTTCTGAGGCTTCTCCTCGACAGGTTTGATCAGACTGAAATGCTTCATCTGCCTGCTCTGTGGCCGCAGCATGAAACTCCAGTTTGTTGCCTGAACAGTTCACCATGCCTTCTGAAGAAGTGACAGCAGGATTACTAACATCATCCCACTTGTCCACAGAATCCCCAGAATGTGGGCTTGCAGATGGCGTTGGGAGACTGGACATGAGTATTTCACTGAGTGGAGGACCTGAAGCTGCCAATTCTTCCCAACCTGGACCGAGGCGGCGGCACAGCTCCCCAACAATGTCATCACAATTTCCCAGAAGCTCCACATCAAAGTTCAGATAGTGTAATCTCTCCCTGTTGATGAGGATCTGAGGTACACTGCCAGGTAGGGAATCTGAAATTAGTTCAATACAAACAAATCAGCACTGATAGTTTTAAAAGATCTCAAAATATTAAAAACACAACTTTTCCTTTTGTAAATTTAAATAATACGGATAGAGAGAATAGTCAATTCATATTCTTACTGCACACTGAACTATTTAGCTCAAAAGCTTGGATCCCCTCCTCAGAAAACTCCAGTGTGTAGTGGCTGAAGATAATAGTTCTGTGCTGGTTTACTATTCTTCTTTGGCTTCTTCTTGTCTGGCCTCATCCCTTTTCACCAGACCATGGCTGCAGATTCACAGTCATCACTTAGTTCTTGCAAGAGGTCTTATGCCTCACAGGGTATTCAGTTTATCAGCCTGGTCCATGGTTAGTTCACCACCCCCAGTTGCCTTACGTGCAAGCCTATCAGCCTGCTCATTTCCTATTACACCTGCATATGCTCGCATTAATAAAACTGATCTTTTAACACAAACAATACCATGCCCAATTAGGACATTTCTGTCATATACCACTCATTGAACAGATGTTTGCTGAAACTGGCCAAAGCTGTAGCAATAAAAAATAAACACTACCGCTTTGTGTAAACAAAAAGAACTTGAGATAAATGTCTAATTACCATGGCTATCAAGTAGCGAATCTTGAATTTCTGGTACAGATGTAGCGTAACTGCCAATGTGATTTGTGTAATTCTTCTTCTTGTTCTGCATTCATCCGAATATGTAATTGCATTGTGTCCGTTTACAGCATGACTGTGATATTTGCACCTTTCGGCCAACACATCCGACTTTTGTGGGCATTTGTTGACTGGGTTAGCCTTCCCGGTATTTGTGTAATTCAATGGAAAGAGTTCAGTTTTGTGTGTGTCATTATATGTTGACGAAACTCTGTACTGATTCACCTGATGAGATACAGCCAAATATGACAGGCAACGCCTTATCTGTGTCCGCATTACTGAAATCTCAAAATGTGTAATCACCGACTATTCTTTAAAAACACACATGCAATAAGTTATTGGTACAAATCAAGAAAATCACCCCATCATGGCGGGTGTGAGATTTCCCACAGGGCGTTCTATGTTCTAGGGGTGTCATGTTTCTCTGTCAACACTATAAGTATCCTATTTTCCCTGTTGTGATCCCCCAGCACTGTGTGTGTTACCTGTGTTGGGCATTCGCTCTTCATTGCTATCACTGCAGCGTTACTTGATAACCTGACTTTCGCTAGCGCTTGCCCCAAAATATCATCAATTCTCAAACTAGTGATGGTTGCACAAGAGACCTAGTGCACACAGTAAAGAAAACCAGAACACTTGCTCACATGCACACACACACAAAACCAGTAGCTTGATGTCGCCTGCCACGAAAGAGTCGCACACTTTCGTGTCAGGCCTTGAACCAAAGGGAGCTGCTTTTCTGCCCACGGTGTGTATAGACGAAGACGGTGAGGAAACACATATCTTAACAGCCCTACAACATAGGACTGCCCACAGGAACCGTCACATCATGAATGGGAGCCTGTACAAAATCTCGCAAATGATGTGATGATGGGGGAAGGGGGGGGGGGTTTGTTACATGTACTAATTTATTTGTCTTCTTTTCTATTAGTTACCTCATTGATGTGTTAAAGGGAGATGTAAGGATTGTCTGTGAGCTCTTCCTTATACACTGTGCAAGTTAATCTTCATTTCTCTAAAGTTGTTATAGATGCCGTCGATCAATGTTTTGTGTGGTCTTTCCCTGCGTTGTGTTCATTATACTTCCATAGCATGATTATATTTGTGGCCGCTGGTACCAGGCCATGCTTGTTAGATGACCAAACCATCTCAAATGATGCTCTTTTAAGAAGAAGTCAACAGAAAGATACAAGCAGAACCTAAATACAGCAGTTAAGGGCCACAGCATTAAATTTGAGAAAACATTTTTTTTTAAATGGACAAGACGAGTTACCAGTCACTTATTCATCAAGCAGGAGATAAAAAGATACCAGGTGCTAATGCATCCACTGACACACCCCCACGACCCTAAGGGTCAAGGGTTATGGTATGTTATATGTGGGAACAACATTCACCGAACATGAGAAACTAGATCAAGAAATTAACATCTGATGCAGTAAAACAAATCAAGTATTGGGACAGCTAAGCCCCCCGCACGCACCCTTACAACATAAGACAATCTCAATCAGCACTAACATATAAAGCCTATTCATTCCAAAGCTATGCTACCAGTGCCAGACATGGTCATTCACAACATTCCAGAAAAGAAAATTAGCAATCATGGAAAAGATGTCTGAGAAGGATGCTGGAGTGACCTGAAGAGAACAAATCAGGAATCAGGTGATAGAACAAGTCAGCACAGAACCAATTCTAAATTACATAAAAAGGCCATAAATCAAATGGTTTGCCCACCTGGTGAGAATTCCTTGTGACATCACATCATACTGACAAGACATACACCAAAAGAGAAGATGGACAAAGAGCACAAGGTAGACCAAGAACATATGGAAAGATAACATCACAAAAACCCTATACAATAGCATGATGTGTCTATGATCGAGGCAACCAAAAGAGCAAGAAGCAGGACCTAAGATCCCCCTCAACACCTGAAACAGTAAAAGAGGAAGTGAAGAAGTGAAAAAGAAGACATCAGAGAAGAGCATCATCCTGAGGGGTGAACACACAGAGAAACACTGAAGTTCCCACCAGCTTTCACATGACTCCTTCATACTTGTAGTGGTGGCTGAGGTTTCAACTTCACTGCAAATGGGTTGCCCCAAAGCCGTTCCATTTCAGTGTAAAAAAATCACACAAAATGAACCTTTTGAAAACTAATGAATTCCCAACAAATTTCTGAAACAAGCACAATCCGTAAATGCATAATGCAGTCACTAGAGGCGCCAACACCAATAGCCGCAATCTGAACTGCGATTTGCCATGATGTAAGTAGTCAGTCATAATAAGTTCGTTGTATATACACATTATTAAAACATTAGGTACATGGCAAACCGGCCACTTTGAACTGTGTGAATGTCATGACACAAATCACTGTGGACACAGAAGAAAGACATTTCACAGTCTTGCACCAAGCACTTAACTAGTATCTTTGGCAGCAAAATCATGCGTTTCTGTGAAAGACGCATCAGCAAACCATAACAAGGAAAGCCTAAAACACTTCAAGTCTATAAAAGGCTGCAGAGGGAGCCTATCGACTATACGGAACCTTGAACCCATACAAACACTAATTTTTCTTCTCTCCTCACAGATGCATTAGACAGTGATCAGACAGGCTAAGTGAAGACAAGCTGTGACTTACTGGGAATCAGGGCCACCGGCCTCACTTTGAGCGAGGACCCAATGACAATAAGCAGGTCACATTCATCTTTATCTGCTGCCATCTGGTTGTGGAAATGTTCTGGCAAACCCTCTCCAAAGAAAACTATGTCAGGTTTCATGACAGCATTTGGGTGTTGTGGAGAGCATCTTGGACATCGTGGGATAACCTGAACATGCATAAATAACAAAAGTAAATAAAAGACCCTTTTCAATGTATGAAGGTATACTGAGCATGTGGCACATTTATGTATGTGAGGGGTTATGTTATCAAAATCAACGTTACTTCACATCGGTCATTCCAATGCGAGCTCAGTCTTCCGATGCAGCAACCACTCTTTACTGACTGTTCCCATAAAAAGTTGGCTATAGTATCTCCTGTCATGGCCTCGAAGAAGGCATAGACATGCTTCACCAAGCTTTACTCTCAGGTCCCGCAATCATGTCAGCGAGCGTCAGAGATTTATCAGCCAAGTCCATATAGCGCTGGTGATATCAACTCTGTCCCTGCTTCATTCCACCTGCCACTTGGTCAGTTCGTTTATTACCATTTACTCCTGCACGCTCAGGTGTGTACATCCAGGTGACAGAGGTTAAGTGCAACTTCCGAGCCCTTTCTACCCATTCAGAGCATATACTACCTGTTGCAATTTTTTTTTAAGCTTGTTCGTGGAGCCTGACAGGATTACTACAGGATTTATTTTACTGTCCATGTCAGTGTTCTGGAAGCAACAATGTTCTAACATGTGACCAGATTATTAATTTAATAAATAAAAAGCTTCAATTTTTAACGTGGTTTTTAAACTTGTTTAACTGACTCCTACACAGAACAGATAGATAATACGTTAAAAAAATAACAAAGGGCGAATGCAATAGAAATGGTATAATCCCACTCTTCATGGACGCCCATCTCCCTGATTATCTTTTCCAGACCTTCGAATATTTTAATCATTTTGTCCTTTAAATAAAAATGATGATACTGTTCAAAATTATGTTAAAAAGAAACTCAGTTATAATTCTCTGAAACACTACCATTAAAAACTAGAGCAAGAGAAGAAGCAGAAGAAATTTGAAGTTTTGGTAATTCTTATACAAATCAAGGTGGCTGAAACTTACCACCACCCAACAGACAGGCAAGCCTGTTAGCAACTGAGTCACCGCGGGACCTAAGTCACTTAAAGTGTATATGTTCTTTATCTTTACAGTCATTATTTTATGCAAAAGTGATTTTGTTTTCATATTAGATTTATTTGCCCAACTTCACCCAGAACATTAAAAGAAAGTCTTTCCCTACCTCATCTTGGTCTCATATATGTATCAGTGATATACTCCAGCGAGAGTTTACTTTTAGTGTTTGTTGCAATAAATAAAGAAATGCACAATAACCTGGGCCACCAATGTGACTGTTAAATTAGACAGTTTGTGTGTTGTTTTTTTACAGTCACGTCATCATAAGTTTATTATGAAGTCACACTGATGATAAAAATTGATTTTATTTCACCCCAAATAATAACTTCAATTTTTTTTAGAATTATACACCCCCCCCCCCCCAATATACTATGCATTTGCAACTAGTTCCAATGTTGTTTTATAAGCATTGTCACACTGATGGGAAAATTTTTTTATTTCAGCCCAAATAATAAATCCAAAACTTTGTTTTCAGTATTATAACCACCCCCCCCCCCTTTTCCATATACTATGCATTTGCAATTAGTACCAAAATTGTTATATAAACATAATGGCCACTGCCCCGAAGATGGCATGTCATCAATGACCCTTGAAAGTAGGAGAACTTGCTTTCTCGCGCGACAGGGTTAACATGTCTAAGGTAATTCACTTTCCTCGGATGTCTCAATAACAATTTTCTTCAAGAATGCTTGATACACTGATGCCAGCATGACCACAAATACTAACCTGGCTGAAGATTTCATCTCTGATGGCACTAGAATCAACTTTGTGGCCACACACTGTGCAGGTAGCTGTTGCAAAAGAGCCTGCAACAAGGGTTCACAACATAAAAGCTACATGTGCCCCAAAATAAACAAAACTATACGTTGAACTGAAAACCAAACAAAACTACATGTTGAACTGAAAACCAAACAAAACTACACGTTGAACTGAAAACCAAATAAAACTACACGTTGAACTGAAAACCAAACAAAACTACACGTTGAACTGAAAACCAAATAAAACTACACGTTGAACTGACTTCTGCACAGAATAGAAGAAATAAATGTTATGATAGAATCACTCATGCAGAGCTAAGGGAACACATTTAATTCTAGTGAATCTCTTCTTGTTAATCAAGTGGCCTAGTTTGTATTGTGCCTGTTGACAGCATATATGCACCTTTCGACCAACACATCCGACTTCATAAGGAATTTTTCGCAACGTTAGATTCTAGTGAATCAAGAGGTGAGGAAGAGAAGCTGGTGTAGGATAGGACACACACTGATCAACTGTGACTCAGAAAAAGGAAAATGTACTAGCACCTAATTCAACTTATTCACAAAACACCAATGCAATTAAATTACACAGCCATGAATCGGTTTTTTTTAAATAATACTGTTGATAAAATGGTGGTTAGCACAATGCATTGTGGTCTACAGCTAGGCTGCAATATCTGCACCTTCGACCCAGCACATCAAATTTCAGCTAATCACAACTAGTTGCCTTTTATGTTAAGGAGTAGTGTGTAGCTGGTCAGTTCTTATTTGTATCCACCACAACTGGCGCCCTAGGACCCACACGGGAGATCAACAAGTGATTTACAAAACAAATAAACAGCTAATTTATATTGCCGACGATCAAGTGTTGATACCCAAAACACACAATGAAATTACTGTCACTAATCAATTACTGTCCCAAAACATATACACACACACAAAATGAAATTACTGTCACTAATCAATTACTGATTCCCAAAATATACACACACAATGAAATTAGTGTCACTAATCAATTACTGATTCCCAAAACATTTGCACAAAATGAAATTACTGTCACTAATCAATTACTGATTCCCAAAACATACACACACAATAAAATTAGTGTCACTAATCAATTACTGATTCCCAAAACATACACACACAATGAAATTAGTGTCACTAATCAATTACTGATTCACAAACCCCACAAAAAAATAATTTTGCCATGCTCATATTAACACATCAAAACTTACCATGACACTGAACAACTCTCTGAATTCCAGCAACCTGTTCCAATGTGTCGATATTCTGTGTGTAGTTTCGGAGTAGCTTCCCCTTTTCTTCAAGCATGCGGATAAATCGATGACAGGGTGAGGGCTTAAACTGTCCCGGAAAGATTTCCTGAATAATAAATATTTGTTTTCTTAATATTATTAATCTACTTGCAAAGTGCCATGACAATTTAAAAAGCTGCACCCATTTCAGACTTAAATTCCCATTTGCCATCAAACTGGTATAAATGCTACTCATCAATAAAAGCTTCCGTTGAAATGTATTAGTTTAGTCGACGGATCAACATCATGGCACAGGGGTGTAACCTATAAGTGCTTCCGTTATACTTTTAACTCAAGCCTGAGTTAGAAGTGTCTCAGCGCTATGCACAAACTCTGTTGCACCGGTGAGGATCCTGAAATACTTTGGGTAGATTTTTTAACTCCAAATTTTTCCCCGGGCAGCGCTGTTAGGTTACTCTTTTTGATTTACAACTGCCAAGGGATTTTTTTTTAAAACATGCGCAACAATACACACGGGCATCTGATCTTATTAAACAGGGGGAAACTACCAGAAATCCATGTGAAAAACCCCAGCCTTCACCGGGGTTTGCACCCGGAACCTCTAGCACTTGAGGCGGATGCCATATCTCCAGATCTCGCAGCCACCTAATTTTCGGGTTCCCATAACGGAAGGGGGGAGACTTACTGCACCTAACAAATATGTCATAAAAGCCAACTAATCAGAAGTTTGCTAAAATCAGACATGTTAAAACACATCATAAAGTGCAAACTATCTAATGCTGAAATCAGACGTGTTAAAACACATCATAAAGTGCAAACTATCTAATGCTGAAATCAGACGTGTTAAAACACATCATAAAGTGCAAACTATCTAATGCTGAAATCAGACGTGTTAAAACACATCATAAAGTGCAAACTATCTAATGCTGAAATCAGACGTGTTAAAACACATCATAAAGTGCAAACTATCTAATGCTGAAATCAGACGTGTTAAAACACATCATAAAGTGCAAACTATCTAATGCTGAAATGTATGATTGTTGTTGTATGTGTGCGTGTCCCCCTTCACTAAGCCTCCAGGTCCTGGTTTGTGTTCAGTTAGTTCATTTAAGTTCCTGACTCAGAAAGCATGCTGAAGAAGGTAAGGACAGGCATGCTTTGTGCAGAATAGCATGTTTTGCTTCAGACGTCAAGGTTGACAAGCACTGTCTGGATCTTTTCTCCGGTGTGTTGGGAAACAAATTGGCGGACAGACTGGCTGGCTCTGCCCAACTTGGTGAAATAATGATACATGATAAGGCAGACATGGTTAAGGCCTTATGGAAGCATGTACAATTTGGAACAGCACAGTCTGGTGACAGTGATGCAGTTAGGAGTGTTGAGGGAGCTCTGGCTGATATCCGGCGCTAAAAGGAAAGACAAGACAGTCATATAATCACTGATATTAGCACCACTGGTAATGGAACTCTGCGCTGCCTGCTGAAGATAGGGACGGAGAGTTTATGAGAATGCCCAGAGTGCTGTGATGTCAGTTCTTAAATCAAATAAAATCATGTCAGTTACTGTTTCCAGGTTTTTCTAAATTCAAGACCTCCTGGTAGTAACTAATGTTGCGCCTGCTGACCCACAGAATCCAAATGAGGAGAACCTATCCTGTGTCCCCTCAAACAATGTGCCAGTCATCATTGTACCCAGGGTCATCATTGTACCCAGGGTCATCATTGTACCCAGGGTCATCATTGTACCCAGGGTCATCATTGTACCCAGGGTCATCATTGTACCCAGGTATGCTTAACATATGCAGCTGTGCAAAGTGCCGTAAAATGTTGAGGGCAAAAAAACATAATTAGGTGTAAAAAAAAATGTTTTATAATTTTACTACTTATATTAGCTTTATGGCATTAACTCCTTGAGTACCAGAAGGTTTTACAGGAAATCCCCTTATGTTTACATAACCAATAGGAAAACCATGGGTTTAGTGCTTTCAGATATGCTGAATAGAGGGGAAGCCAGATTTTTTTTAATGCTATGACTAGAACATATTACATGTTGGGTGGGATTCCCAGAAGTGCTACTCACACATTATTTGTTGTTTGGGACTGAAAGAGTTAAAACAGTATGGCAATAGTGATGGTAAAGTTTAGCTTAGGCAAGAAGGGTATAAAACAAATGACTGCATAGGGGCGTCATATATCCCAATTATAGCCCTGGTTTTACCACCTAACACAAGAAAGTGGCAAAAATGAGGCTTATTATGTAGTTCTACCTTTAAGTCAATGAATGATCTTTCAGTGAATAATACAATATACACACACAAACTCATTGTGTAAAATAAATCTTTGGTGAATAAAGTACAGAGTACCATTTTCCCACCACTGGTGCATTGGGCATATTCTTCATTGCGTTCACCAGCTGTAAACTCTAGCTGAAAGTTCTAGTTATTCGTCCACTTCTGGGCTTTAATCTTGATCCAGAACTTGAGGTTTGGGGTGCAAATCCATTCTACATATATGGCTTATGTACAAGCAGACTGTTGGTTCCTCATCTCTCAGGCAGATGCACTCCAACTTTGAAGGAAACACCCCTAATTTGTCTACTTTTAAGACATGCTTGTTAGGAGGGCAGAGAGTCTGTTCTTTTGCTCTTGTTAGGAGAGCAGAGAGTCAGTTCTTCTGCTCCCTTGTTAGGAGGTCAGTGAGTCTGTTCTTCTGCTTCCTTGTTAGCAGAGCAGTGAGTCTGTTCTTCTGCTTCCTTGTTAGGAGAGCAGAGAGTCAGTTCTTCTGCTCCCTTGTTAGGAGAGCAGTGAGTCTGTTCTTCTGCTCCCTTGTTAGGAGGGCAGAGAGTCTGTTCTTCTGCTCCCTTGTTAGGAGGGCAGAGAGTCTGTTCTTCTGCTTCCTTGTTAGGAGGGCAGAGAGTCTGTTCTTCTGCTCCCTTGTTAGGAGGGCAGAGAGTCTGTTCTTCTGCTTCCTTGTTAGGAGGGCAGAGAGTCTGTTCTTCTGCTCCCTTGTTAGGAGGGCAGAGAGTCTGTTCTTCTGCTTCCTTGTTAGGAGGGCAGAGAGTCTGTTCTTCTGCTCCCTTGTTAGGAGGGCAGTGAGTCTGTTCTTCTGCTTCCTTGTTAGGAGGGCAGAGAGTCTGTTCTTCTGCTCCCTTGTTAGCAGGGCAGAGAGTCTGTTCTTCTGCTCCCTTGTTAGCAGGGCAGTGAGTCTGTTCTTTTGCACCCTTGTTAGCAGGACAGAACGTCTGTTCTTTTGCTCCCTTGTTAGCAGGACAGAACGTCTGTTCTTTTGCTCCCTTGTTAGCAGGACAGAACGTCTGTTCTTTTGCTCCCTCATTAGGAGGACAGTGAGTCTGTTCTTTTCCTGCCCTACAATGGGTCCTGGAACCCAAACTGGAAGCTACAAACATATGATGCTAGACCCATACTTTTATAGATTAATCACCACTCGATGGTATGTGGTCATCATAAAAGTGACCATCTTTAGATCTTCAGGTTAGCAGAAAAGCATCTAACCCCTGTGTTACTGCAGCTAACAGTGGTAATTAATCTTCCTTTTTCTTCTTCAGCATTCCGAGCCATTGAGGTTTACTGCTGCTGATATCACCCACCTCCATTTATCTCTTAGACTGGCCTTCTTATTCCAGTTAAGTGTAAGTAGTCTTACCTCTTATATCTCCATAATCTTTTGGGTTAGCCTCGTAGTCTACTCCCATTTAACTCTTTTGTGTACACAGCTCTTGCCTCTCCATTATCTCCCATTCTTTCTTCATACCCCAACACCCATAGTCTATTCTCCCACATGACGCCAGTAAATAATGGTGATTTAAACAGATTACTAATTTCACTGTTGTTTCTCACTTGCCATTCTTCACTGTTTGCATATTTTAGGTATCCCAAAAATGTGTCAAAAGTGTCTAATTCTTCTTCTTCTTCTTGTGTTCGCTTTCTGATTTACACCGACAGACAGGTTCTTGTGATAAACTTGGCTGTTTTTATGAGTTCCTTTTTAGTCCCATACAACTTTGTGTGCAGTGGTGACTCTCTGGGCCAGTATCCTCTTCTTAATGGGCCATACAAGGGACATGTTCTGTAGTCTGCACACATAGCCCACAAGGGCACAAAGGTGAACTACTTATACAAAGCCTGTGCATATGCTGGTTAAGTTTGTTATGTCCTGTCCTGAGACGTAGGACAATGACCTGCCCATGCTGGTCAAGTAAGTGGTAGTCATCTCTGATAGCCTGGATGGCCCTTTTCTTCTCATAGTATGTTACTGCATTCTCTTCCTGGTTACATTCTGCCCCTTTCTTAGCAAGTTTATCTACGGTTTCATTTCCTGGTATACCACAGTGGGATGGCACCCACTGGAGTACAGTACACTTTTGGGCAGCCACCTTGCCAAGTTCAGATCTCAAGTGAGGGAGTTTGCCACTCTTGAGGGCTTGAAGCACTGACAGAGCATCTGTGAATATGACCACTTGGTGGCAGTCAGAACTGGTGTTGTGTAACATTTTGGCAGCCTGCTCTAGTGCTACGATCTCTGCTGTGTAGTTGGAACAGAATTTACCAGTGAGTATACACTTGGTGTGGCGGTGGTTACCTGGGTATGTAATAAAGACTCCAGCACCCCCATTTTTAACAGCACTGGTTGCTGATCCATCAGTGTAAACATGTATCCACGACTGTTCGGGATAGTTTTCCTGAATCACGCTAAGAGCAGCTGTCATTTTTGAAGTTCATTGGACTCATCTCCAGTTGTGAATCCATTGACTGAAGTCATTATCTGTATTGTATCACTGACTCGCTCCCAAGGTACAGGGTATGTTTCAGCGGTGTTGTTCTAATAGGTAGATCAGCTTAATACTGTCTTCTAAGTCTTTTTCCCCGATGGACAAAGCTGCTACGTTTGAGATGCCCCAATGCCCAGATCATCTAACCTTCCATTCATTGGGCGTGACTGCATACTATTAAACTTCTCCATCTGGATCATAGTTTTAGTGTCTCTTCTATAGGACAATGTCTGCATTGCAGTTATTTTCTGCATTGGTGCAGTTTTCATGGATCCTGTGATGAGTCCAAGGGCTTGACTTTTCACTGTCTAATTATTGTAGATGGTAATTAGCAGCTGTTGACCATGCTGTTGCACCAAGTGGGGTCTTATCATTCCATTGTAAACTTTCTTCAAGGTTTTTCCATTCGCTTCCCATCCTGTACCTGCCAGTTTTCTAAGTAGGCCTAGTCGTCTCCTGGTCTTCCCTTCTACATTTTCTATATGTTTGCTCCATGTGAGCCTTTTATCAAATGTTACTCCAAGATAAGTGGGGAAGCTTTCTTCCTTTAGCAATGATGTTCCCAGGTGAATACTAGCAGCTTTGTCCCTGGGGGAAAGAGAGAAGAGCGTCGTGGATGTTTTGTCTGTGTTGATGGCAACGTGCCATTTTTCTGCCCATGTCATCAAGAGATCTGCTGCTTGCTGCATTCTTATATTTGCCACTGTGGTGTGTTCATCAGTACACCAGAGTGCCAGATCACCTGCATACAGGGCAGCTTTGACTCCTGTAGGGAGGTCTTTCACCAGATCATTTATATAAACAAGAGAGTTGGAGAGATAACTCCTCCCTGTGGTACTCCTTGTCGAAGTAACACTTTTCTGCTCTGCAGGCCATCATGACTGACTCTAGTTCTCCTGTTGTGTAAGAAGGATTGGATCCATTTTAGCGTGTTTCCCTGGATTCCATTTCTCTTCCGTTCTGCAATGAGACCATCTTTCCAGACTTTGTCAAAAGCATGTTTGAAGTCAACCCATACCGCCAGGAACTTTTTCTTCTCTTGGAGGGCATCCTCTACAGCTTGTGACCGGTAGGTGACTTGGTCTTCTATGCTGTGACATTCCCTAAATCCAGCCTGCTCTGGCCCAAGATCTGCTCAGATTCTAAGTGCCATTTCAGTCTTGAATTTACAATTCTTTCCAATGTCTTTCCTACACAGTGTGTAATGAGGCCCTAACTCTTTTAGTTGCACTCCAGATTTCAGACCCATATAACATAATTAGTCTGATCAATGTTTTATTTACTGTGATCTTCGTGTGACAAGACAGAGCATCTGGTTTTAGCAGACGTAGGGCATAGCATAGGAGTAATTAAACAATTTCATTTTGTCTGGTTTTAGCAGACGTAGGGCATAGCATAGGAGTAATTAAACAATTTCATTTTGTCTGGTTTTAGCAGACATAGGGCATAGCATAGGAGTAATTAAACAATTTTATTTTGTCTCATGTCTGGCAATAAACTAAAAAAATTTTTTTTTTAATTAAAGATGTTTCCTGCATGTGTTTCTTCTCCTTCTGCCTTTCAAACGCACCGTATCATGAAAATCAAACAAAAACTCCAAGCTGAGTCCTTTTTCAGTCGTCTGAAGGCCTGCTTTATTAAGGATGGTTCCTTTGCTATCTTATTTTAGTTCTGTTCCTTTGTGGTGTGCAATCACACCTGAGTTTGTTCCTTTGTAGTGTGCAATCACACCTGAGTTTGTTCCTTTGTGGCGTGCAATCACACCTGAGTTTGTTTATTTGTGGTGTGCAATCACGCCTGAGTTTGTTCCTTTGTGGTGTGCAATCACACCTGAGTTTGTTCCTTTGTGATGTGCAATCACACCTGAGTTTGTTCCTTTGTGGTGTGCAATCACACCTGAGTTTGTTCCTTTGTGGCGTGCAATCACGCCTGAGTTTGTTCCTTTGTGGCGTGCAATCACGCCTGAGTTTGTTCCTTTGTGGTGTGCAATCACGCAAGAGTTTGTTCCTTTGTGGTGTGCAATCACGCAAGAGTTTGTTCCTTTGTGGTGTGCAATCACGCCTGAGTTTGTTCCTTTGTGGTGTGCAATCACGCAAGAGTTTGTTCCTTTGTGGTGTGCAATCACGCCTGAGTTTGTCCCTTTGTGGTGTGCAATCACGCCTGAGTTTGTCCCTTTGTGGTGTGCAATCACGCAAGAGTTTGTTCCTTTGTGGTGTGCAATCACGCAAGAGTTTGTTCCTTTGTGGTGTGCAATCACGCAAGAGTTTGTTCCTTTGTGGTGTGCAATCACGCCTGAGTTTGTTCCTTTGTGGCGTGCAATCACGCCTGAGTTTGTTCCTTTGTGGCGTGCAATCACACCTGAGTTTGTTCCTTTGTGGTGTGCAATCACGCCTGAGTTTGTTCCTTTGTGGCGTGCAATCACGCCTGAGTTTGTTCCTTTGTGGTGTGCAATCACGCAAGAGTTTGTTCCTTTGTGGTGTGCAATCACGCAAGAGTTTGTTCCTTTGTGGTGTGCAATCACGCAAGAGTTTGTTCCTTTGTGGTGTGCAATCACGCCTGAGTTTGTTCCTTTGTGGCATGCAATCACACCTGAGTTTGTTCCTTTGTAGTGTGTAATCACGCCTGAGTTTGTTCCTTTGTAGTGTGCAATCACACCTGAGTTTGTTCCTTTGTGGCGTGCAATCACACCTGAGATTGTTCCTTTGTGGTGTGCAATCACGCCTGAGTTTGTTCCTTTGTTGCCTTAGCTCGATGCAGGTTTTAGGGGTCCTGATGCAATATGGCGCACAGGCCCTTAACCAACTCACACCAAGTCATTCTATCCTTCGCTATTACATGTGTGTGTTCCAGGACCTACTGCACCCCCTCCTCTCCTCAAGCATGTCATAAAGGGCAACTAACGAGGAGTGCTTCCTTGCCTGAGAGACAAGAAAACAAAAGTCTATATAAAAAACAAATGAATCAAATGGATGTGCATGCAAAGCTCAAGTTCTGGAACAAGACCAAAGTTCAGAAACGGACAAACACTTAGAACTTTCCGTTGGGCTTTACAGTCAGTGTGCAAGAAAGAGAAGAGATAGAAGGTGGTTCAGGTGTTATATGGCAGCTGTGATTATCTACTCGACAAAATGAAATACCCTGGCAAACTTGAAGAAAGGTCTTGGATCGTGTCGGAAGAAGTGGATATCAAACATGGCTTGTGGGTCAGGCAGGTTGGGGAAATCCTTGGCCAGCCTGGCATACACACCGTCACGTGATCTGAAGTCTGGTATTCCACAAGATACTGAAACCTGCAATATGATACAAAAACAATTTATGATGTAATACAAATGGGTGCAAAATAAATTAATAAAGCACACAAATAAATTCAAGTACAAATCTAGAACTGGTACTAGCATAGGAGGAGTAACATAAGGAGCTTTAGATTTATTATTATTTTTCTCTTTATTCTTCTTCCTCTACCAGCTGCAAACTCCAGAGAAAAATTCTGTTGTTCATCCACTTCTAGACACTGGTCTTGTTTAAAAAATTTAGTTTTTGCATGCATTTGACAGATCTGGCTTTTTTGCATGCATATTGTTGGTTACTTGCATCTCAGGCAGATGCACTCCGACTGTAAGGGAAACACCCCCAATAAGTCAAATTTTATGACATGCATGGTGGGGGCGCCACTGGATCTATTACACACCCATCCCCCCCCCCCCCTCCATAATAAGCCCTGGACCCCACATGATATGAATATACTACTAACGTTCAGCTATTTAATCACATATCTACCCTGTGTTAGTTCTAGTGCCGCACTGTGGGGCGGAAAACTAGAACACACCCACTGCCTCCCTAAAAAGCATGTCGTAGGAGTTGACTAAGTGAGGACATCATTCACAGTTACAGTAACCATATAAATAACCCAGATCTGTAAAACAGATGCGTGCAAGCAAATCTAGAGTTCAGGAGTAAACAAACAAGCAGAACTTTCCAACCTGAAGAAGGTGAAAAAGAAGTAGTCACATATCTAATGATCACATATCAAAAACATCATAAACACTTACCCCAGCTCCTGTCAGCACAATGATCTTCTTTGAAGCACTAAGAACTCGCAGCACATCATCTAAAGTATTAATATCATTCAGCTTTTTGCGCTTGGGTGGCTCTGACACAATATTAATGATAATTTTCCACAGCATTATTGGGTCAAGACCCTCTGGGATCACTGTGCCAGAAGGAACCAGATCCTGCAGGATTTTTCTAGGGCTCTGGCCTCGTCTCATTTTTTCCTGCACCCAGGCTATAGGACCTGAAAAAAAAGGTGAAAATTTATTAGGGGATTAGAACACCAAGTTTGGTTACTGCCAAGGAGTTGGTGGTCTATTAAGATACTGATGGAATGAGAAAGACCTTAGAAATACATTCAAATGAGAAACTTCTCAATACACTTGAAATGTCAAAGACTTTACAAAGATATTAAAAATACACAAACATGCAAAACAAAAAGCACATCACGCAGCGACAATAAATTTCAGATAAAACAACAAAACACTTTATAATGCAACCGTAACAAAGAAAGCCTCGGCTTATCATTATGTCCCCAATGCTCTTCGATGTAAAGTAATGGCTCTCTTTTATCTCTTGTAAAATATGGCATTCACCTCACATCTGTAACCATTTTACCCAAAGAATGTTAAAATAAATAGGATGTGAACCCATGGGAATTTCTGGGGGGAAAATCCTTTGAAAAAACAGCTAAACAGACTCGCAGAAAACAATCAAATCTTTCTCCAGCGTATCCCATCTCACTGTGGCACACCAGGAAACAAGTTAGCAGATAGACTTGCTAAAAATGGAATAAAGAAGAAACAACACACCCATCCATTGTCGTTACTAGAAATCAGAACACATATCAAGGGAAAATATAAGGAATTGTGGGGAGAACAAACTAACAGTAAACTTCCACAAGACCCCATCAGCAAACTCAACAGAAAGCATCATACAACAATTTTCCGTCTACGAACATGACACTGCAGGCTCAACTACCACATGCATAAAATAAAGATTGTACAGTCCCCACAGTGTGTCTGTCAGACAGGATCACAAACACCTCAGCACATTCTGCAGACCTGCCCACTCTACCTGCAACTTCGAAAAGACACCTGGCCTCAAGAGCAGAGTGTGCAGAGCAAGCTATGGGGGAACCATGAAGGACCTGCTACTGACATGCAAGTTCAAAGAGGCAACCCACCTGATGGTCTGATCTGAGCATACAAAATCGAACGCAAAGAAAAAAAAAAAGAAAAAAAAACTATTTCACACAGGTAACTTTAAAAAAACTGTTCAACAATATATTTAGCATCATTAAAAAAAAAGTCCTTAAAAAAATATAAACATATAAAAAGTGAGTGAATAATAAATAAGAACAGAGTAAAACATTAAATAAAATGCATTTCCTGGGCCCCATACTAAATATGTAACAGAAGACTCATGCCTTGACACTGTGACCTCTAATACTCTATTACAGATGAGGTAGATATACAGAATTAAAGAAGAGCAAGACTGAAGATATCAGGAAACATGTAGGGATGGAACCAGTACTAAATTACATCAAGAGACAACAGATCAAATGGTTCAGACATGTGTTAGGACTACCACCACACAGAAACCTATTACTTAGACATAACGGAAGCAGAAGCAGCACTAGAGGTTGAGCAAGCAAATGATGGATTGACAGAATACCTGCGGCCTTAAATACCAGCATCTACGCAGCGCATACCAGGGATTACATTCAATGTTTCTTCGGAACTGGATCCCGAAAGGCAGACCATAACTAGAGAACTAACAAACTTTATTTTCCTAGGTCACAAACTGGGCATGCAGGCCATCTTACATTTGGCCCTTCCAAACACCATCTTTCACACAGCAGTTGTATTTTTTTAATCAATAAAGCATAATCTGTTCATGTAATAATTAATATGCATATTATGAATATCAAGCAAAAACACAAATGCACGTGCACGATCGCGTGCACACACATATATAAACCCACTCACACATATGCACCCACATACATCGATATCTACATACACACTCTCACAAATACACACACACACACATGCAAACCCACTCACTCATATGCACCCACATACACATCCATCAATATCTACATACACACACACACTCTCACAAATACACACACTGAAAGACACACACACACATGCAAACCCACGCACTCATATGCACCCACATACACATCCATCGATATCTACATACACAAACACAGACACACTCTCACAAATACACACACTGAAAGACACACAAACACGAAAAAGAAGAAGGTTCAATCACAAACATAAGATAAGCCCACCTTGCACAGGCTGCCACGACTCCTGACTGAAGTCAGAAAACTCACTACCATCACTTGCATTGTCACAACAGTCAGGCTTGTCAGGGTGGCCTTCATCCTAGGAGATAGATTACAAACAATGTATATACAAACAAGCTATAGCAATGTATTCATTTGTTGTCCTATTGTGCCATTATGTCACAGGGCTCGCAGTCTGTTCCTTCTTTCTGATCTATCCTGTGCTATCAGTACCATATCCAGTCCAGCACCTTTAACCTCTCTCATTAGCATTCATTTTAGGGTTTTATTCGGGTGTCCTCACCTCCTTAATCCCTTTATTTCCCATTTTAGTAACTGAGAAGAGAAGAAATGCTAACATCTTAAAAGATCTTAACATTAAGGAAGATTGGCTAATAAACAGCATTTTGTCTCGGAAGCTGCGATATTTTGGTCATATCAAGCACCATGGCAGATGGGAAACAGTAATAGTACAAGGCATGGTACTAGGAAGAAATGGCAGGGGGTGACCAGCACTAAGATGGGCACAGGATATATGTTGAGTCCTTAAATATTAAAGTACACGAGGCAGGAGAGCTGGTGAGAAACTAAGGTTCATTTGGGCAGATCCTGATGACAGCGACGTTCTGCAAAGGACCTGCTACATGATGATGAGTGCCCATCTGGTGATGCTTTGCTGGTTTCTTCTCAGGATGTGTCCAATACAGCGCCATCTGTTCTGTTAACAGTGGTTGCCCAGGCATTGCTTTTTATTTCATCCCTTTTTATTTTCATTAATTTCCTCAGTCATTTGTTTAACTAACAGGCATCTAACTTTCGTTCCACGAGCTTAGCGGTTCTCCAACTGTCATTGTATCATTAAAAAAACTGACTGAAATAACTAGGACTGAAAATATTTAACTTGGATTTAAAACTATACAATTTAGAGTTTCATATTTTGCTCAGGCTATTTTCAGCTGCTGATTCCTTGCCAATCATCATCATCAGTTCTCGTTATGCCTAGTGGCACATGAGGCTTCAGAGAGGACTTTCCATGCTTTCCTGTCCTGTGCAATCTTCAGTGCAGTTTTCCATGTCAAAGATGCCGCACTCAGGTCACTTTCCATCGTTCGTCTCCATGTTGTTTTTTGGGCGCCCCCGTTTTCTCTTTTCCTCTGGTGTCCACGTGAGAGCTGTTTTTCCTTGCCAATGCTTATCACAATTTATTTTATTTCTATTTTTTTTTTCACTATCAAAGTAACTATCTAAATGAGTAAATTGATCTGTTACTTTAATTACTTTTGTCTCTAGTGTGGGGGCTGAATGGTCTAGAGGCATAGTGTCCACTTCGAGTGCTCAAGGTTCCGGGTTTAATCCCCGGTAAGGGCTGAGATTTTTGTTTACATGGACTTCTAGTAATTCCCCTGGTCTCTGGGTAGTGAGATTGAACGCCCTTGTGTATTGTTGCACATGTAAAAAAAAATCCCTTGGTAGTTTGAAATTGAAAAGAGTAGCCTAAGGGCGCTGCGCGGGCAAACATTTGGAGTTAAAAATCTACCCAAAGTATTTCAGGATCCTCGCCGGTGCTACAGAGCCTGTGAACTATGCTGATCTTCTTTGGACTCAGACTTGAGTTAGAAGAAGAACGGTGCACTTATGGGTTACTACCCGTGTGCCATGATGTTGATCTGGTGTTCAAACCTTCTAGTGTAACATCTTCTTGATCTGTTATTGGTGTCTTCAATGTATTTGTCTTTTCATACATTATTTGAATGTCCAACCTGATTTGATTTGATTCAAGAACCGACATCACAGCACTCGGGGCATTCCCATGAGCGATCCGTCCCCATCTTCAGCAGCCAACGAAGAGTTCCAACCGTTGACGCTATATTTGCTAAAGCATTTGTTTTTATTTAAATATCATTGTTGTTTTTACTTAGCAGAAAACTATCATCAGCAAAATCCTAACTGTGTGTTCTCAACCTAGTCCATGTTGGTGTTTCCAACACATTTGTTTCCATCAACTTCAACAATGGTGCTGCCAAATTACAGAGGGAATCAAATGCATCCTTGTTTTACACCAGCTTTAACCTGAAAACATCACTTAAACCTTCTTCTGGTCGCACTGCACACTTTAAACCTTTATAAGTTTAGTTGCCTATACTTTTACAGGACGTTGCAGAACCAACCCCAGCAGCCCTGGGCTGTTGTGTAGTTTCTCTAGGCAAATTTACGTCCAGTAGTTTGCCATTGCTTTCTGGACGGTCGGCCCCTAATACCACTGTCGAAAACCGACGCAAGTAAACCTTTAAAAACTACCTTATTTGATTATTGGTAAAAATTATATATAGCAGAAGGCATGGTAACAGGAAGGAGGGGCAGGGGCTGACCAACAAGAAGATGGGCACAGGATAAAAGTGCATGAGATGGGAGAGCTGGCGAGAGACTGAGTTGCTTTCAGGCAGACTGTGATGAGAGTGACATTCTGCAAAAGGACCATCTACATGATTGGTATAAAACTGGATTCTCAAAATTCCCTATAATGATGTTCTGTGTAAGCTAGCAAAAGCCTTCTCTAAGTCTATACAATTCAAAATAAGGGAAACAATAGCAATACCAACTGTTAAACTAAGGTGGGTGAATAAAATGACTTTGGCTCCCAGGTCGACCTGGCCTAAAATTGGTCACAGGTAAAGTCCCGGAAAGTAAAGGTGGTCAGCATGATGGTGACCACATCACCCACTGTGGTCTATAAAATATAGGTCGAGCACTTCTTCTTCTGCGTTCGACATCAGTCATGCTTAACATTGAGTTCCGTCTGGGTCACAAACAGGATTGTGCGTTTAAGGCCACCACCGGTCCCCCATAGCTTCTCTTGCAATGTGGCTCCCTTGGGCCAGATCCACAGTCTTTGCTGGGAGAGGTTAGGGCAGTACTGTAGTATGTGCTCAGGGGTCTGTCTTTCTGCTCCACAATCGCAGGCAGCAGATTCTTTTATGCCTATCCTGTACAAGTGTGCTCGAAGACCGCAGTGTCCAGTCTGAAGTCTAAAAAGTGATGTTTGTTCCTTCCTGTTGAGTTTGTTTATGCTGTCAATCTCTGGTCTGTAATCTCCATTCTGCTTGAAAGACTGCTTTAGCGCTGTTTTGGTTTCCTTGTAGCTGTGAGGTGGATGAGGTTGTGGAAGATTACTCCCAGCTTTTGCCAATTCATCTGCTCTCTCATTTCCTTGAATACCACAGTGGGCTGGTATCCACTGCAAGACCAGTTCTGCTTCCTTGGAGATTAGGCCAATGTTGGTTCTTAAATCTGCAATTATTTTGTCTTGTTTTTTGCTGGATAGTGCTTGGAGAACAGACAATGAGTCACTAAGTATAACAATTGTGTGCCCTCTGTGTTCCTGATTGATGAGATGTTGGACTGCAGAAAGGAGGGCAGTTGCCTCAGCTCTGAAGTTAGTGCAGATGTCCCCTGCTGGTAGAGAGAGAGTTTCTGCTCTACTGCTAGGGGGTTTAATGTAAATTCCACAACCACCCTTTCTGACTGCATCTGTAGCAGAGCCGTCGGTGAAAAGGTCTAGTACTAAATGTCAAATACACCTAAACCTGGGGAAAAGAGTCCCTTTTAAGGTGGCTGGATAGGTAGGTAGTGAAGTGAAAGACTTTTTTTAAAACGCCAGTGACGTTGTGTCAGACACCGTTTGGACACCGCAAACAAGGACAGCAGAGCCGTATAGCTATCTCTACATCTAAAGCGGTACAAGAGGAAGTGAAGAAGAATCATGGAAATGGGTCAGGATTCAGATATTCTAAGCTCTTCTTCATCGCTAATCCTGGTTCTGCCTTTCAATGTCCAGTTTTGAAAAAAGCATTTGTTGCAAGCAGTGGTGTAAGCTGTGTGAATGCAGGTATCCGCTGCCTCGGATATTTCAAGTATCCAGTACCTGCATGAGCGACTTCTAGCTCTGCTTCCCTTGTCTAAGTGATGAGGCATGCCCGGCTCACTAGCATAGTTAGTTAAACCTGACTTCGTGGCAACCGGGTGACGAAATCCTTGGGGTCTGGGTTCATGTCCAGGGGTAGGCAGAAAAGCCAAATTTCTCCCAGATTTACGGCATCTATCATAGAACCAAGTCTGAAGGGTTGCGATATCCATAGTATCGAGCCAAAGGGTTAACTCATGGTTTCTGGAAATTTTTTTAAAAAGTGATGGGGCTCTTTGTGATGCAGTCCTGTAGTAGTCTTAATACATGTCTGAACCATGTGTTGTTTTGTTTGCCTTCACCAGTCATAAAGCCCGGCAAAGAGATCTAATTGTTTGTTCGTTTCTGGATTTTTGCTTTGTTCCAGGACCTGACTTTTAAGTGTGCATCCGTTTTACAGATCTTGCTTTTTTTTTTATGCAGACTTTTGGTTCCTTGCCTCTCAGGCAGATGCATTCCGACGACTCTGAAAGAAGCCCTCAATTAATAACATGCTTAGGGGAGGCAGTAGTTCTATTCTTGTTTTCCCCACAAAGGGGCTCCAGAACCCACACATGGATCTGAACTATATGACCTGTTGTCTCCTGATCTAGTTTAGCTATGGGTCCATCAAGTCCATCCCCACTTGTTTCCTGATACCATCATTTCTGATCCTGCCTTTTCTGTTAAATTGTATTCTTGGTTAGCAACAACAACAAAAAAGCAAAAAACGAGTCTGCCGTCACTGACTTGTAACTCAGTGCATAAAAAGGGATGAAAAATATTTACTTTAAGATCTGTATAAAATTTGCCCACAACAGTGATTTGACAGCTTTCTTCTTAGATTTCACTGGCTGTTAACTCCAGTGAACAATTCTGGTTGTTCATGCACTTCTGAACTCTGGTCTCGTTCAAGAACTTGATTTTGCATGCAAATCCATTTTAAAGATCTGGCTCATTTGTATGCAGGCTGTTGGCTCCTCGCTTCTCAGGTAGATGCACTCCAACCCTGAAGGAAACGCCCCAATTAGTCGCTTCCTGTGGATTGCTTGCTGACAGGGAAGGCGGTTCTATAATTTTTTTTCCCAAAATGGAGCACCGGAACTCTCATAGAAAGATTTTTTTTCTTAAAATTCTAAGTATTCCTCTATTATTACCTCATTTTCGTCACTGCTCGAAGAATCCATTAGTTGCAAGTTGACACAAGTTTCATCTGTTTTACCTGAAAAACATTAATTTTGGTTTCATAAATAAGAAACAATAAAGTGTAACAGACAGCCTTTATTTATCATCTTGCAGACTGTTTCCAGTCCGTTAATACAATTAGAATTTAAAAAGATGATATTAAATCTTAAGTGACTGACACAAATTTTAATAAGATGTCTCAGTAAAGTTACAAAAATGTGAACAGATACTGCCATTTCATTACAATAGTATAGTTTTAAAGGGAAGTCGCCATGGGGGAGCGGCTAGGCGTGGATCAGAAGGTCGTGGGTTAGCTCCATGGCAAAGCCATGACTCCCAGGTTGACCCAGCCTTGAGTGGGTACCGGGTGCAGTCCCGGGAGGTTAAGGCAGCCAGCATGATGTTGACCACATCATTGTATAACTTGGAGAAATACTTTCTGATAGATAGAACAATCCAGACTATGATACACAACACAATCTCATCTAATGAAGTCTTGGAGGAGGGCTTGCCACAAGGCTCATCATTGAACGGTACAAGGTTTCTAATTTTTATCAATGACTTGACAGAACAAATCAAGGCCGAAAAAGCCTTGTACGCTGATGATCTAGTAATATGGCAGTCATTAAAGAAAGTGGATCCCAAAGACTAAATGGAGACCTTAGGAGACTGCATGAGTACTGCCAAAGATGGAAACTCAAGGTTAACTATACAAAGACAGTCTACACAATCTTTACTAAAAGCATTCAAGTAGCAAAGAAAGATATTAACCTGAGGTTAGACCAAGTGATGAAAGAAGAGCATCCTACATACTTTGGAGTCAAACCTGACTGGCAGCTCAGCCTCAAGAACCATAATGAAAACATATAAGGCATTGAGGCGGTTACAGTTATTAAAGAGACTTGCAGGTATAGCTTGGGGATCAGACAAGGAAACTCTGAGGGGCTTGTATCTTGGATATGTTCGCTCTGTGACAGAGTACAACAACTAACTGCTTACAACCTGTTCCAAAACTAACCTAGAGACTCTTGACAAAGTACAGAATAATGCCCTCCAATTAATCTGCGGAGCTTTTCGGTCTACTCCAACTGCTGCATGTGAAATCCATTCAAATGTGGAACCCCTCAGGTTGCAGAAATAAAAAGCCAATTTAGAAATTTATGAAAGATGCATTAGAAAGAATCGTAACCATTCTAATAGACGCCTTGTAGAAAACTGGAAATACAAACAAAGAATAAAGCACAATTCGGTTTTACACTATATTCATGAAATACAGGACAAATACCACCTCCCAGAAAGACATCAGGGCATTCAGAATGTTGCAAGAAACTTACCACCACATGCTTGCTTTAAAGCTCCAGAAGTCCGAATGAAATTGGTAGGAAACCAAACAGTGGACCCAATCGCTCTAAAGACCATTGATTCTTACCCCCAAGAATTGATACATGTTTATACTGATGGATCTGCATTTAAAGCTACCATTAAAGCAGGTTACGGAATCTACACAGTTTATTCCGATGGATCTGTTGAAGAGCTTTTTGATGCTCAAATTATGAAGCCGAAATAATTGCACTAGAAACAGCAGTATACCATCTAAAGACTGTAATGGATGTTTACCTTCAAGCTCTGGAGGGCAGTAAATGCTGCAGAAATGACATAGCCAAGATAATCCTGGATGCTGATCAGCTTATTACCTCATACAACATCAGAATAGTGATGCAGTGGATTCCAGGACACTCCAGCACACCAGGTAATGACAGAGCTGACAGATTGGCAAAGAAAGGAGCAACACAAGAACAACCGCCTACAGCGACAACCCTACAGACAGCAAAAACTCTTATAAGAGCTATAAACAAAGAGACTTGAACAGATGGGCCATGGGAGACACTGGAAGAGAGGTTTATAGACATATGGCTGGCCCTGATCCTAATGACAGCATTAACCATCTAACAAGAAGGAACCAGGCCACCATCTTCAGACTTAAAAAACACAACATACTCCACTCAGTGGACATCTAAACAAAATACAACCATAACACTCCCCAAAGTGCCATCTATGTAACTACCCCTACGAAACACCATCTCTTTGAGTGCCCAAAACTCAGCGAGACTAGAAGAATGCTACTTCCTCCGAGAACAGACAAGTGGAACACCTTCTTCGGAGAAAAAGAACAGCTTGTGAAAACATGCAAATTTCACTAAATGGCATTGGGCCAAAGCTGGATCAATAAAAACAACACCCATCTCCATGCCGATTGGCCTACAAAAAATACAGGTCTAGCCCTATACGCCTAAAGGCATGGGAAAAGGGACCTTTACTTAAGTATATTTTTTTTTTTTAGCAGCAAACAGAACCAAACAAAAAATGGTTAGAGGATTACATGCACAAGTGTGTACAAAGTACAAGAACCCTTGCAGTTACAACCATTTTCCTCCCCATTGTAATAGTCATAGGAGGGTTACTTGTGATGATCAGAAGATGCCTACTGTCCCTGTTTCACAGTGGAGTAACAGTCCACTTTTGGACTGCAGTCCTGTTCCAAAACCTAAGTATTGCGTGTGCATCCATTTTACATATCTGACTCATTTGTATGCAGACTAGTGGTTCCTTGCGTCTCAGACAGATGCACTCCAACTTCGAAGGAAGCTCCCAATTAGTCAATTCTTACGATATGCTTTTGGAAAGGCAGTGGGTCTATTCTTGTTTTCCCTACAATAAGGCCCCGGAAACCACCCAGATTGTTTAGCTATTTTTTTTTTAAAGATTTATGCAGCAACTGGCCAAGCAATTAACAATGCTGGGCTTTCATGCAGGAGACCTGGGTTCAAAACCTCAGTATGGTGAGGGGAGATATTACTGTTGGGGGCCCAAACAAAATTTCCTACCCTGCACATTACATGGTGACTGCACTAGTCATCCATGCTGCCCTAAATCCTGAGGCTCAAGCCCCCCCCCCCCCCCCTTTTCAACTGCTGTGGTAAATACAGACAATAATGATCTACGAACAGGACACTGCAGGCTGAACTACCACATGCATTAAATTAAGACTACAGCCCCCCACAGTGTGCCTGACGAACAGGACCACAAACACCTGAGCACATTTTGCAGACCTGCCCACTACCTGCAACTTCGAAAAGACACCTGGCCTCAACAGCAAAGTGTGCAGAGCAAGCTATGGGAAACCATAAAGGACCTGCTACTGATATGCAAGTTTATAAAGGCAACCCATCTGATGGTCTGATCTGAGTATAAGAAACCAAACTCAAAGAAGAAGACAATAATGAAAGTTTTGGTGAGTATTCTGCAAAATAAGATAGCAAATCTCATGCTAGCACTGCACTCCACAGTAACTTCTTGGCACATGCATGGTAGGTTAAAGTGCAGTGTTCCTATTCTCTACTTTGCTTGTGGGTCCACAACATAAAGGCAAGGTGGTGCTGCTAGCAGACAATATTGCTTGTAGATTAAAAACAAGCCGCAAAATTTTTATATATACACGTCAATCTAGACAGGTTGTGTCTGTAAACCTTGATCATGAAATGTCTGTTGTAGCTAAACAGTCCTAGATCTTACAAATAACAATAAAATAAGTCTTGTGGACAGTAAAGAGCAGCATTGAAGAGCGGAGTGGCAGTTTTAAGTCTCAGCTACCACATGCATAAAATTAAGATTGTACAGCCCCCACAGGACCACATACACCTGAGCACTTTATTCTGCAGACCTGCCAACTGATTCTACTTACAACTTCGAAAAGATCGATACCTGACCTCACAAGAGCAAAGTGTGAAGAGCAACCTGCAGCTGACATGAGAGTTCATAACTTCATAGAGGCAACCCACCTGATAGTCTGATCTGAGCATACGACGCAACCGAACGCAAAGAAGAAGAAGTTTGAGAATCAGAAAATCATGTGTCTGTCCATTTTTTTTTAAACTGTTGTTTGTTGTCATTGAAACTAACACACTAACATTGTGTTTACTTACAAATGTCAGTACTTTGTATCTCACATTCTACAACATCTGTAGAAGTAACGTCACCATGATCGCGTGCGTCAGGCAGTTTTATAGGGTCTTCAGACGACGCAGAGACTATTCCAGTCGTACCATGTGTGTCAGTGCCTCCTGCCAACAGCTGTGTTGATGATGTCGATCCTTCATCAAATGTCTTGATGATTGACGAGGAAGTTGATGAAACGTTGGACTCACAGCTATCCAATATCGCCTGCATCACGATACAATGCTTGGTCATGTAATTAAAACACAGATGAAATAAATAATGATACTGCTGAGGGACGCAGATAACAAGTATGATGGGTAGAAGAGAACACGTAGAGCTGTCAGTTCGAAATTCTCTTCAAGATGTGGCCCCCATGTCCACGATGCTGACCCGGATGTTGCTCATTGTTAGAAAATATACCCGAACAATTATGTCAAAATTATAAATAATAATTTTAAATGACACAAACATTCTTGATTTACATTTAATTTTATAAAATTCTTTTTATTTTCAAAATAAAAAGCTATGCATTAAGATAATTTAATAAATCTAACGACTTATGAAAATGATTGATCCCTATCATATAAAACATGAATGTATTGATGCACAAAACAAACGAAACAAAAACTAAATATAAATTACTTTACATTTCAATGGGAGTTGTATGTAAGCCTAAAAACACTTGGAGACATACACAGGAGGAGATCAGAGCACTTATAGTCATGTTAAAAGTGCAATGAAGATGATCTTAAAAATGCACAACGAACATTCTTTTCTTCGTGTTATAGTCTTTGCAGTGTGGCGTTGGCATTCGGGTCTATCCACAACATTCTGACTTGTGTATTACTATTATCAATCATTACTGACTTGGATGATCTTCCATGCTATGATGTCGAACTATCAGACACCATTTCTCTCGGTCTAGCTCTGTCTCTTTTCACCTTCAGATTTCCCACTGTCATAATGTACCCCAGCTTTCTCATGAAATGACTAGAAAACCTAGTGTCTCCTTCTGCTGTGAGAACCCATTTCTTATATTCTGGTATGAACGGTGTATTAATTCCAACAACAACAACAACAACAAAACACACTGATATCTTTATTGAGTTTTGAGTTGGGTTATCTTAACCGCACTCCGAACGCATCATGGGTGCTCAGATTTCCCTTTCAAAATATACATCAGCGCCATGCGGTTTATAGGGGCAGTCCTGCAAGAGCGCCCCAAATTGGGGAGGGGGCTGAGTGGTCTTGGGGCATTGCGTCCGCTCGAGTGCTGGAGGTCCAGGGTTTAGGCCACGCTGAAGGCTGGGATTTTTAAAGTGGATTTTAGTAACTTCCTGTTCTCTGGATAGTAAGATCAGACGCCCGTGTGTATTGCTTGGCAGTTGGAAATCAAAAAGAGTAGCCTAACGACGCTGCCAAGACAAAATTTTGAGTTAAAAATCTACCCAAAGTATGTCAGAATCCTCGCCGGTGCTACAAAGTTCGTGCACTGAGCTGCGATTCTTCGGGCTCAGGCTTGAGTTAGAAGTAGAACGGAGCACTTATTGTGTATTATCCTTGTGCTATGATGTTGATCCGCTGTTTAAACCTTAACATAGTCCTGTGCTCGTTAACCAAACTTCTTGCACGTCCAGTGTGCCTCTCGTGTTTGGCTGTGCTGATCTATTCTCCCAGTGTGCCTCTCATGCTTAGTTGTGCCGATCTATACTCCCAGTTCTTGTATTCTTAGCAGTGATGTGGACACGCTGTTACAAAATCCTCTGATATTTCGTTAGAGTCCATTGAGTTTATCCAGCTCGTCTCAGATTTAATTGTCAGGTCCTCCCATCACCATCCATATCAGCAAGTGCTTTGCCGCCTGGTAAGGCCTCTCCAAAACCTGCTATCTCCAAACAACATGCATAAGTTTGTGAGCTGACACACCTCCTTGCAATGACAAAAAGCTGTTAATAACCTTCTCACGTTGTCTTCCTATATCTCTTTTCCCACAAATCTTTAGTCGTCATTACACGCATGCATCTTCCAAGTAGCAACATACGGATGTGAGTCGTGGACTATCTCCCAATCCTTAAGAAAGAGAATAGGGGCTTTTGAGCAGAAATATTAAAAACAAGATTCTCAGAAAATCTTTGACAAAGAAGAAGAGAAGTACTGACATCTTTAAAGATCTGAACATCAAGAAAGATTGGCTTATAAACAGCATCTTGTCTCGGAAGCTAAACTATTTTGGTCATATCAAACGCCACGACGGATTGGTAAAATGTATAGCAGAAGGCATAGTTCCAGGAAGGAGGGGCAGGGGCCGATCGACACGAAGATGGGCACAGGATAAAAGTGCCTCCTTGAGTATAAAAGTACATGAGACGGGAGAACTGCCGAGAGACCGAGTTTCTTTTCGGAAGACCTTGGTGAGAGCGGCGTTCTGCAAAGGACTTGCTACATGATGATGAGGACACGTTTCTTTCACCTTTGGTAAAGTGCTGGAGAAGATAATGGCGGGTAAGCTACTAGAATTTTTGGAATAGAGAAGTCTCCTTCCACGAGGTTTAGGGAGTTACCGACCAGGGAAGGACACATGGTCAAATGCAGCCACTTTTGACTTTGACGCCTTCGAAGGTTTCCAGAACAGACAGGAAACAGTTGCAGCGGCACTTGATCTAGAAGATGATTACAACAGAGTCAGATACAGTATCTTGATGAGAAGGGAGTCTGTCCTTGGTTGGTGAACTGGATAGCAGCTGTTTTGTATACTTGTCGGGTAGCATTCCGCTGGGTTCATGGACCTCTGAACCAGGACTACCACAGGGATCTGCAATTTCGCCATGACTTTTCAACGTTTTTATGAGAAAGATTGCGGACCTGGAAACACCTGGAGTCGGCAGAATATTGACATTTGTAGATGATGTTCTCGTATATAGGAAGGGAAGTGGTCGTAATCAATAAGCTCAAGAATTACAGGATACATTAGATAAGGTGACCGACTGGTGTACAGAGATGAGTGCTACGATTAACCCAGAAAAGGCAACCGTCCTGTGGTGTTCTTTGGACAACAGGATTGTTAGAGTTGATGTTCCAAGCCTCAAAATGAATGGCAGGCACATCAAAAGAGACAGCAGACTGCAAATCACCTTTGACAGAAGTTTGTCTTTCAAGCATCACATAGAGGAGGTGGTGACAAGGGCTCAAAAAGGTCTTAATGCACTAAAGATTATGGTAGCAATGGACATGGAACAGAGAATGCTGTTCACACTTTACCAGCACTTAATCATTTCAGTAATTAATTATGGATTGGGGTTACTCACTGTCTCGAAGAGTCAGCTAGAGAAGCTGGAGCGCAAACAAAATGAAGCTATGCGGGTGATCCTGTGTTGTACAAAAGACACCCCGATTGTGTGCATGCGATACATCCTTGCATTGCCGACTATTGCAGATAGGCTAAAGGTGCTGCAGGCTAAGTCATACCTCAGAGTAGCTGCAGACAAAGAACACCCTCTTTTTGAAGCTTTGGCTGCAGGTAAGGGTTAGAGGCTGAAAATGTTAAAATCATGGATGGCTCAAGCAGAAGACACAATAAGACAAATATGCATGCTGGAGAACATTGTGCGAGGAGAGTGGGTCAGAGTATCAGAGGACAAGTCTGACCTGTGTAGGGTTATGATCAAACTGGGTTGGGAGTGCAGAGAGTGGCCAGGGAGTGCTACGGAGGGTGAAGTCCAACAGTTGATTCACGAAATTCACGCCCAGAGGATCTGATTATCTATACAGATGGTTCGGTGGTGAGAGGAAAGAGAAGTGCCTGGGTGTTCGTAGCAAAAGCCAATTGAAAATCTTTCGTGCAAGACAGCCTAGCATACGACAAGGAATTCCAGAAAAATTTGACTAAAAAGCTCAAGAAAATGGGGAAGCAGTAAAACGTGAACAAAATAACACAACATAACGTTTCGACCGGGCTGCCTTTTTCAAACACAAGTGGACTACACAAACGAGGAGATGAGATTATGTAGATCTCTAAGGGGTGACGTGAGCAACGTTTAAAAAATGTGATGTCGAACAAATGAAATAAAAGAAAATAAACGATGGCTAAAAAATATAGCCACAAAAAAAATAATAAACAGTAAAATTGATAATATATAATACTGGGAAAAAAGAAATACAAATGTGAATGATACATAAATGATACTGATAAGAAATAGAATAAAGAAATAATATTAAATAAAAGAAGATAAAAGAAAATAATTAACATTTAAAATGTGATAAGAGTAGAACTATTTAGATAAAGGTATGTTGGATATTAATACCACCTGGACTAAGAACGCCTAAGCTGTGGATGAGGCGATTTTCCAATGCGAGGCGCGTAGTATGATCGCCAGAGCAAGATTTTAATGCTGTGACAGAAATATCATCTTTACCTCTGTGGTCAGAGCTATTAAAATGGAGAGGGATTGGTTTAAGTGTCTTCTTGTCAATATCGGAGAGGTGTTCCCGGAAACGATCAGCTAGCTTCCTGTCAGTTTCCCCAATGTATGCCCTGCTGCATCGTTTGCAGACATTTACATAAATTACGTTGCGGGATTCGCAAGTAAAAGGTTCCCTAATTTGGAGAGAACAATTAGGGAAACTGACCGAAGAAGTCTGGACAACAAAAGGACATGTCTTGCACGTGCTGCGTGAGCATTGTGTAGCATACGACACCACAACGTCTAGCATGAGAATGTAGGTGGAGGCGGTAACTGCAGCTTTTCCGTGGCTAGACATCAAAATGCATACACATATCGTAATTGTAATAGACTCTGAAAGTATTCTGAGAAAGGTGAAGACAGGGATGCTTCGAGCAGAGTGGCAAGCTTCACTGGAAAGATCACTGGTAGTGAGCATATTTTGGATCTTTTTTCCTGGCCATGCCGGCGTGGTGGGTAATGAACAGGCAGACAGATTGGCTGGATCTGCACCACTTGATGGTGAACTGCTGCATGACAAGGCATATGTTGTCAAGGCCCTTTGGGAACAAGTAACGGAATTAGTAGAGAAACAAGATAATTATGACCTGGAGAGAATGAGGCACCTGGGTGTAACCAGAGGGTCTGGCTGGCTCACTACACTCAGAAGAAAAGCTAGACGGACTTATAAACAGATTGTGACCGGTACCATCAGTATTGGAACTCTGTGCTGGTTGCTGAAGATGAGGACGGAGCAACGATTGGAATGCCCCAAGTGCTGTGATGTCAATT